TATTGTATACCCACAAGCATTGTGAAATTAAACATATTAGAAACGTGCGCTTTCTCTTTTCTTTCTTTTCCATTTATCCAGACTGAGCCACAGCAACGCGTGGCCGGGTACAGCTGGTATCATAATAAATCAGATTGGAAATGTATGGTGTTTTCAGTAATCTTTTTACTCATACAACAAATCTATATCTGTATAAGAATTACCAGAATATGCAGCATTGATGCTATTAATTTATTCTTGTGAATTATTTAGCCAGACACGTTATTTAGAATGAATGTGAAGCCTAATCTATCATTCGAGAAACAAGAGGCATTTATATGTTATATTAGGCCTTACATTAGGAATTACTAACGTTTAAAAATAATTATGAGAGTATTTAGACCAGTTTTATTGTAATAATTAGGAGAGTATTTAGACCAGTTTTATTGTAATAATTATGATATTACTTAGATCAGTTTTATTGTAATAATGATGATATTACTTAGATCAGTTTTATTGTAATAATTAGGAGAGTATTTAGACCAGTTTTATTGTAATAATTATGATATTACTTAAATCAGTTTTATTGTAATAATGATGATATTACTTAGATCAGTTTTATTGTAATAATTATGATATTACGTAGATCAGTTTTATTGTAATAATTATGATATTACGTAGATCAGTTTTATTGTAATAATTGTGATATTACGTAGATCAGTTTATTGTAATAATTATGATATTACTTAGATCAGTTTTATTGTAATAATTATGATATTACTTAGATCAGTTTTATTGTAATAATTGTGATATTACGTAGATCAGTTTTATTGTAATAATTGTGATATTACTTAGATCAGTTTTATTGTAATAATGATGATATTACTTAAATCAGTTTTATTGTAATAATGATGATATTACGTAGATCAGTTTTATTGTAATAATTATGATATTACTTAAATCAGTTTTATTGTAATAATGATGATATTACTTAGATCAGTTTTATTGTAATAATTATGATATTACTTA